GTGACAGGGCTAAGCATCGTATCTTCTGGTTGGCACTTGCAGAGCCGCAAGCCGCTTTTTTTTTCTTTTGCAAAACAGCAGCTTGGAAACTCCGGACCTTTTTTTTTCCTATGCGTTCTCTATCCTTCAAGCTTCTCAAAAGAAAATAATATTTTTCATTTTTCAAAAACTCGGGTTTGAAAAATGTTAAAAAAAATCCAAATTATAAAAGTGGGGAATTTTTTTCTCCCCCTCTCCGGTGACAATCGGCTTTCGTCTTTCTAGGGTTATTGTTTTTTCTTTCCTTTGTACCTGAATCGACGTCCAAATCAGCTCTACATCCTCTACGCCACCGCCATTGCTCTCCTCCTCCGGAAAGTTCTACACCTTCTTCTCCGGTGGCAGGTACCGTTTTTCTATCTGGGTTTTTCTTATTTTCCCGGCTTCGTTCCTGTTTGTTCATGTTTGGTAATGCTGTTCTCGAATCCCAACCGTTCCTCTGTGTCGATCTCGGCAATTCCCTTGACAATATCACTAGTGAAATCAGCTTAAAACTCATGCGATTCGTTCTTCATCTGGGTGTCGAAAACGACGGATAAGTTTGTTGAGGGTTTATCTAAATCAGTGGCCATGTTACAAAAGCCTTGTTCCTCGTACACGTGATTCTAAAACCCTAAATTTGTCAGGGTTTAATTTCTGCTCTGAGGATGGTATCGTTGAGCTGGAGACACCAAGCATTAATTCAAGCGTTGATTTCACGGGGACCGCTCAAGGAGAGTGACTTTCAGTCAATCTTCTCCGGCGTCACCGGCAAAAACCCAGGTCGGTATCTGTCTGATTTCGTCCGCTTTATGATTACTTCCGGTGTTTCTTGGTTGATTAGCAATTTTAGGGTCAAGTACAGTGAAGAAAATTTCTGAAATTTTCTTGTTGGTGTGACTGAAAACATGGTGACTGGTAGGGTTTTTAGTGCATCAAATCGATGGATATTTGATAAGTTCCTTCTAGAAATATAAACAAGGGGATATTTGAAGAGTTCCATTTATAATTCAGATATTTTTCGATGATTTTGGATGCAGGAGTTTCTAAGAGGATATTTGACAGGTTCCTTCTGGAGATAAACAAGGAGCTCTCCTACGTTCACTTTGAGTTAAGAGCATGTAGAGATCAATACGATGGCCAAGTCTGTTATGGAGTGGTTAACAATGTCTCCGATGAACAGTCAAAGCTTGGTACCAAATATTCTGTTCCCCAGATCGCATTCTTTAAAGGCGTCGTAAGTCTCCTCATCACTATAGTGCTTAATGCATGCTTAATTATGTTTCTTGTTTGTGTTTGATTTCTTAACATCATATTTCCTCAGTAAATCTACACCAAAAAGTCTATTTTGATGGATATCACTAATCTATTCTTTGTTTGCAATTCTGTTATCCGATCAGCAAATCTAGGAATGTTTTCAGATTGTTATAAGCCGGTAGTAGGTTCTATTTTGTAGGAAGAATGGGCTGGTTTATATAAAAAGACTCAAAGCATGACATTATCTTAATGAATGATGGTAATTATCGATTGCAATATGGGTAAAAGCTCTGTCCTTGCTATTCTGGTCTCAGCTGGCATCCAAAGAGTAACATTTTTCTATCTTACATGCAATTCAAATGTCTAGCTGTTGCAAAAATTATGATTGAAGTTTCAATGCCAATAAAGGATATCTTTAGATATTAGACGAGGAAATCTTTTGCATGTCTCATATTTCCAAGACGGGTTTATTCCTTCCCATACCGTCCCCAAAATTCATGGTGAAATGATTCCCACATAGAGGATCTGGATCTTTTGTTTGTGCCCTGTTTGCTGTGCTACTATACAAGCAAATGGCTAGGAGTTTATTCATGTCATGTATTTCGGCTAAACATTACTCCCTCTTTCTCTTCTGACAGATGGAAGCTATTGCACAGGATGAAACAGCAAGTGGAAGCATATCAAGTTTCGATGCTCTTAATATCCGGCCAGAGAACCAGGTCGGGCAGGGTTCCTTGTGCATTTTCCACTTCTATCCATTGATCAAATACAATTCCCTGGCCAATCAACCGATCATTGCGAATCTTGAATTGCTATTTCTTTTAGAAGTTGCATAAAAATCTTCTGGCTGAAAATGAATTGTAGAAGTTTCTCTTTGTATATGTTTGACAGATCTGGTGTCTTTTCAGATATCGACAGAGGCTGGCAGCAGTCAACAGGAAGTCCCTGCTGCATTGAGGAACTTCACAATGTCACAAAAGGAGAAAACTCTCGGTGAACTTGTACGTGACAAATGGCTCTGCCTCACACCAGAAGGCAACTATGGAATTGGTATCAGATCTCTTCTTGACCTACGCAGTTGGTTCAGAAACAACAATATTCCTTGTTGTGAAGTATGCAACGAGGCTGGCGTAAAGGTCCACATTCTTTCTCAGTCTACTGCTAGTTTTGAACTCTGTTTACTTTCCCCTATTTTCGTCTTACAAATTATCTGAAAGATACACCACAAATCGAATTTATCTTAAACCGCAAAGCAGGCCTAATAGGACTTGCGGGTGAACCGAGAAAACTACCAAATCTTATATTGAATTTAGTCTAGTGATCTAAATTCTAAGTTTCCAAGAGATCCAAGTTTAATATTCAGACCACCATAATAGATTACCACAGTGTATATGGGTTTAAATTGTGTGAGTCACCTCGTTTTTAGAATCGAAAATTGTCCAATCTTCTTGAGCCAGACTCTAAACTTGACTGTAATGTAGAAATATAATGAGTATAATTAGCTATACTGTCTTGTAGAATCCGGCACCTAATTGCTGAATAGTGTTTACTGTCCAAATGCATGTACTTTTCTAAGATAAAATCGCCGCTCAACAAAGCTGATCCAAATTTAGAAGTTTTGGGTAACTCATTTCGGCTAAAACTTTATGCTTCTGTTTGTGACACTCATTGACAGGCTGAGATTTGCTCGAGCAGAGGTTGCACGATCCGAGTGCACAAGTACTGCCTCAAAAACATGTTACCACAAGGGGTAAAAAATAATACTGTCTTTACATTTACCTCAATTCCTGACAGTATTACATCAAGGGCGGTATTTTTCTGAATCGGGTTTGCAGAATAATAAAGTATGCCCTGGTTGCAACAAAGCATGGCATGTTACCGTTACCAAAGTAGAGGAAGCCCCTGAAGAAGCGGATGAAGAAAATGAAATCTCGGAGAATCAGACCGCAGCTTCACAGCCAAAGAGAAGGAAACTCAGAAGCAACCGAACATTTGATACGGATTTAGCTGGGAATTGTTCTTCCCAAGCATCGGGAGCCTCTACCAGTGGCGTGGCTACGAGAAGGGTTACACGAAGCACATCCCATTCTGGATCCCAGCGTTGATCTTTTGCTGAAGAGCTGCTGCTTTGTACATTTTTGGGGCAGATCTGAAAATGAGTGTTGTTTTTTTTTTTTGTCTATATGTCTAAACATGGCTAACAAGTCATTTCCATGCGAGGCTAAACTCTAATGTAGTAAATTAGGCGTTGAAGAATGCAAAGAAAGTGCATTGTGAATCTGTGAGCGTTGAACTTAAAATGCTTTGAGAATGCACTGAATGTGCGTTATGATAAAGTTATACACTGGTGGGGGGGGTCTTGATAAGAAAAATAATATTAGGGTACAATCCAAGATTCTATTGTAATATGGGGGGTGAAAATGAACAGAAAAAAATCTATACACTAAAACCGATCATTTTTTATTAGAAACCCGATGCATTCTTAATTCTTCTTTCCACCATATGCTGTATACATATCTTGGCAGCCTTCTTTATTTTACAGGTGAAGCTCGTACACATTCATAATCTACATAAAGATGATCAGAATGTGAATGAATATGGGTTTATGTTAGCCCGAGAGATCAAACCAGCATCCAAGCTCCCTCGAAATCTCGATGAGAACGAGAGCTTTGTCGAATTATAATATATCTCGGATGAATGTGTTGGTCCTTGAGTACATTCATCGCTTTTGGTTTTCATCAGCTAGATGTTGCTGGTGGAATTCTTTGGAACCTGAGGCATGGCTATCGGATACTTGGGTCATCGGGATGAACCTGCAAATACAGAATTTCCATACGATGCTGAAACAGACAGGACAAGCTAATCAAATTCAACTATTAAAATTTGGGTCCATTTCTTCACCTCTACTGTAATTTCACTAGTCAGCTCTCATCCTTCTTCGGGTACAGACCACAGCTCCTGCTGTTATAACTTATTGGTTGAATCCTGTAAGGAAAACATGCGAAACATCGACCCATGAAAAAAAAGCTTGTTCTTTCAACTAACATACGGACGCGATTTGTTAACGAAAATATCGGATCAATATGACATCGATTTCTGAAATACAACAGTCCAAAACTTAAGGTAAACTCATAAAAAGCAGTTAATTTTTTTTTACCAAGTATAGTAGATAAGACCTCCCGCATCCGCAAAGTGGGATCACCAGCAACAATGGACTTCACAAGCCAAGCAATGTGCTCGTCGGGTCGTACTAAGATGGATCCTCTGTCAGTAATCTTACAGATACTCCACCACGAGGCTTCACCCGGTTGCCTTTTAAGTTCCATGACATTGATATAGTTTTGCCATGGAGCCAATGCCTGTTTGCTCCGTGCTTTTGTTCCATCGACATTGTCGCTAGGCCACAACACGCATACCTTAACGTTGGTTCTGAACTCCTCGGCCACTTTGAAGGTAGCACGAGCCAACTGGTAGGACTCCTCAAATGGCGCTATTATAAGGAGGAACTCCACTTTTTCTATGGAAACAAGATCCAAAATTGAAACAATGTCCTGAGAAAGAGATGCATAACACAATGATGAGGAAAAATGTTAGAGCAGCCAAAACCAAAGCTTCTCGAAAGTGGAGATATATCATTGATGATCACTCGGAAATAAGAGCGGAAACTGATGAAGCACCTCGCTTGGAGAATCTGACAATATTCTCACGTATGTATGAGGCAGTCTTGAACCTGGATCAGCAGAAGGAACGTAGTCTCTTCTACGACCAGTGGGCACTTCAAGATCGACATCTGCAGACCCATTGTCTGGAACGAGGGCTCCCTCAAGATACCTGAAAACGTTAACTTCTTTAACTTCGGTTTCTACAAAAAACATTCTCGGGCAGATTTGAGAAGTATTTTCTACTGAAGACAGAACAGAACAAGAAACACCATATGTCAAACATTGAAGGACAACCACGAAGTTGTATTCTTCCATCTCACGAAATTCTAAACACTGATTAACAGTTAGTAATCGGTCGATGATACCTGAATCCGAGATCCTCAGCGGGAAACTGAAGTTGAAGGCTCTTTCCTTCTTCGAAGACACTCTTAAGTCTTCTAAGCCTCAAAGATCCCAGTGGATTGCTCTCATTCAACAGAGATTCTGAAAGGTGTGCACGACCTGCCGCAAAGACCCGATCCAAGATCGTCTTTTGCAGTCCAGACGGAAAGATGGAACCGATTGTAGTATTTAATAGCCGATGAACTACAAAACCAGAAACACATAATAGAAAGTAAAGGATGGGAATAATTTCCATGGCATGTAGGGTTGAGTATTGTGTCACTCCTGGAAAACTGATCTGTGCTTAGATGAATCTAAAGCAAGATGACAAGCTTACCTGAGTTTGCAACTGTTGGATCAAGGCCTAGGGCTGAAGGCACTGACATAGCTGCTCTGAAGTTCTGAACGCTGAGTGAGGTATTGAAAAGGGCAATCTGTAAACAAAGATATTTGTGAAGAATGATAAGAATTGGCTTTGGAAGAATGAACATAAAAAAAAAAAATAGATAAGAAAAATACAATACCGGCCTACGTTCTGTCTCATAGGTATTAAGAATTGAAGATTGTGCAGTTCCCTTTACAAGAGCTGCAATTTTCCATGCGAGATTATGAGCATCCTGAATTCCAGTGTTCATTCCTGCAAGAATCATGTAATTTGGTGTCAAGGTATCTTCCATTCTCAATGCAAAACAATTTATTCAAAATATCCGTATCACACTGACGTCTGAATCTTTCTTTAATTCAATTCCAATTAAAAATTAAAAAAATGTTACGTATATGTTAAGATTTGTTTTGGAGTATACACTATTTCTAACTGCCAATTTTCTCGTCTCACACTTCCTTTAGTTATAGCAGTATGATGCTAGTGTTGACTGGATTCCTCCAAAAACTTTAATTATTGATATTATATACTGCATGGTGAGGACACCGGTTTGTCAAAAAGTGCTAGGAATCATGACAACTTACCAAAACCCCCTGCAGGCGGGAATCGATGAGCAGCATCACCAACAAGTATCACTCTGTTCTCACAGCAGATGAATTTCTCAGCAACTTCAGCATGCATAACCCATGGCTTTACATCAACAACATTGCAGTCTGCAAGCTCTTGACCAACCAATTTGAATATCAACATCTTGCATATCTACAAGATATCGTTCAAAGAAATGACCACAAGCAATATCATCATAGTTTACATTAGTTTCATTTTGGATGGGGGAAAATTAAGAGGTCTCATTGAGTAATACGGTGGAATGACAGAAAATACCTCAGGACTGAAATCAGACAGAGTCTGTTGAGGTGGGTAGTATGGTATCTGCAGTAACGGGGGCATCAGGACAAGGTATGCTAAACTGTTGGGAAAGATGATCTAAGATTTAAGAAACTTATAATTACCTGCAACACAAACTCTCCTTGCTGAAGATCATGCGCAACAAGCACTCCTATTGCTTCAGTGTTAAAAATGAAAAACAACATTCCTGGTCTGCTATTGCGCAGGTACTCCCCCAACTCTCTGCTCATGAAATGAACACTGATAAGCTTTTGCAAGTTTTTTTCACCCCTCATTTCTATGCCTGCAAGACTTCTTACGGCACTTCCCGCACCATCAGCACCAATGAGTGTTCTACACTGTATATTTCTTCTCATGTGCTTCCCTCCTTTCAGAAAAGAAACAGTTGCAGTAACACTTTCATTTTTAGCATCAATAGCCACACATTCATGTCCCATCAGAATTTGCCTCCCGCCGATAGGATCAAGCTCCCCTTCTAATCTTCGCACATGGAAGTCGAGGTTTTCCAACCTCTTAAGTAGTAAATTTGTCAACTTGTACTGGGAGAAGTGAGCAACAGAAACTGGGCTGACAATCTTCTCAAAGTCTGTTTATAACAGCACAAAAGTAAATTATAACACACAACAATTATGAAATGTTTCTGGCTTATTTCAATTCGGAAAAATTTATGGGCGCGTTACGCAATTAAATCTGTTCTGGATAATGGATAAGCATTCCAAAAGAGACAGGAACTACTAAAGGGAAACACACCTTTAGGTCGCATGTGATCCACCGTACCAAGAGTTGAACCAGAGAGAGATGTGCAGTATATGAATTTTCTCCACAAATCTACAGGTGGTTGTGACCTTTCGATCTCTTCAGCTAATCCATCCAATTTACGGAAGATCTAAGAATAGAGATAAATGCAAATGAACTGAGAAACAACTAGAACCATCCGAAACAAAAATCAACCTCACGAATAGAATTCAGACCTCCATGGATCGGTTGTTGATAAAATGCGCTTGAGGATGTTTTGAAAAGTTCGTATTTTTGTCCACAACAGTACATTTCACTCCTATAGAAGATCAAACCATTCGATTTCGTAAAAAAAATTAAGCCCAGCTTGAAAAGAGCATCCCAAATCTTCTCTTCTTGTAAATTCAAGCAAGATTTAAGAATTTTACATAAACCTGTACCTAATTTGGTGAGAAGGATGGAGAGAACGAGGCCTACTGGTCCAGCACCTACGATCAAAACAGGGAGAGTAGCATCATCGCCATGGAAGACATTACCATCTGAAAAATCCCTAATATGGGAGTTTAGTTCTGGGAAAGCTCTGACTCTCGAGCTTTTACGACTTATTCCGGCGACCCTCCCGATCAACCCTAGAATCGCCATGGCTGTAAAGCTGAAAGCCGTTGGAGAAGAATTTAAGAGGGAAGGTCGGGAAAACACGGTGGCGTCTCAACCGTGCGTGTAGTTTTTGCACCTGGGAAACGACACGCGGTGCATCAAGGCAAAAAAAAAAATCTTTTAATTTAAAATACCATACTCGTATTTTTGTAAAATTAGAAATTATAAAATACAAACTTATGTATGTAGGTTATGCGAGCATATAAAAATATCTGAAATCCGATTTTGATTAAATGAAATTAAAAATAATTTTATCATTTTTATGGATATTAATAATATTTTGTAATTAAAAGAACATAAATTTTAAAAAATTAAAGATGATTATATATTTTTAATAAATATAAAAAATTATTTTATAATTATATGGAATATTTATAGATATTTAACTAATAAAATAATAAACTCAAACTCGACTTATGAATAACTTCGGTATATCACCCGAATTGCTCCGATAATTTTGTCAACCACTGGGGTTAAATGTTTTGTTTAGAAGAAAGATGTTCGCATCAACTTCTTCTTGGTGGGACTGGGATGACGAGTAGTGTTTTCCAAACTGTACATACATGCCTATACATTTGTATATGTCCATACCATATATGCATTTGTGTGTGTGTATATATATACATATGTATAAATAAATATGTAAATATATATGTATAACATATGTACGTGTATGTATGTGTATATATCTATAAATATATATGTATGGATATGTTTTTATTTTCAATATTTTATAATTAATATTAAATGTTTTAATTTTTAAGTATTTAAAATGTGTTTTAAAGTTTAAATATTTTATAAAATTAAAATATAAAATTTTTAATTCAATGTCCCATCCAATTTTTTAATGCTCCAAGGACCTTCTGCTATTTGTATGCCTCAATCTTTTTAAAGTAGAAATCTTCACAATAGAATTCAAATCATTTCATTAAAACTCTAAACAAAAAAAAACAATTTAAAAACATGGATGGCCTTTTTAATTTGGTTATCCTAATCGAATAAAATATAAAAATGAAATTGAAAAAAGATTGAATTCGAAAAAAAAAAAAATCAAACGGAGTCGAATTCTTTATAATCACAAAACTCGAAAATAACCGAAAGGATCTAAAAAAAAAAATACAAACCCCTTCGAAGAAAATGGGCCAGATGACACAAAGCCAATTTAAACCATAATGCTAATAGACTGGATTGATGCAGCCCAAATATTAATGGGCCCAGCCCATTATATTAATACCCAAATTTATCCATGTACTTTAACCAGATTTGTTGTTAGCACAGAACCGAGGATTAATCATATTTTTTTTGGTAATCGAGTTCTGAACAGATACCCAAACTAATTGTAGAGTCGGGAGTAAGCGATGTGATTAGAATATGTATTCTCTTTTCTAATTTGAAGCTTGAACTCGGGCCGTGATTAACGTTTTACATCTCGTTTCATCGGTTGAGTTACTCAAGTTAATGGATTAATCATATGTTGTGATTTGCTACTATGCTTTTGATATAGTTTTTTTTATAACGGAAGAAACCACCACGACTCATCGGATGTAGAATAAACCCATCGATTTTATACAATAGTCTGCAAACCACGTGAAACAGTTAAAACAATCGAAACTGATAGATTCAGAGAAAACTCATTCTCTGGAGGCTTGAACCCATGAACTTTGCATGTGTTCTCAACCAATAAAGGTGGGGTTTCCTCTGCATTTGATATAGTTTTCCCAATCTTCATGTTTTATTCTTGTATTGGTTGATAAATGTAACTCGGTCTTATTAATAGGTCTGCATAAATTTATTTTAAATTTAAACCAATTTAAAAAAGGAGATTATTACAGCTCAAATGTAAAAACATGAAATGACAATCCTATAGGTAATTTGTGAATTGTTCAATATAGGTATCTGTAAATAAAATGAACATACTCAACGAATGTTAATTGGTGTAACTGTTGATGTACTAAATTTTGGATTGATATTTACATTTACATGAATAAAAATAAACAAATGTTTGAATTACAGGTGTATATATATGTATATATATAGTACTAGACTTCGTAGGTCGTTATCAAAATAACTGGTTATGACAAAAAAAAAATTAACATTATATTCACAAATTTAAAACCCATTCCAAAGTAGACATGTATTTTTTTTTTAAATTTCAAATTATTTGATTAAGTCGGCTATGTGACATCTAAATACGTGATTTTCACGAAAACATACATGAAACCAAGCTGAGAATTCGATTAAGGTTACTAATTATCGACTAATGAATGTGATTAAGAGCTGTTTTAGAGAAGTGAAGGGAAGCATGTAGACATAGAACCAGTGGCCCGTAAGACATGTCACGTTTAAAACCAAACCAAAAGAGGAAAGGAAGAAAACGACAAATGTTACTATTTTTGGATAAGACCAAATTCTTCGACTAACCCTTTGGATCATCCGCAGGGCAAATATTTTGAATACCAATTTACCTTTTTGAATTTAGTGTAACCTAACTACGGTTTGGTTGAATATGGAACCGAAAGAAATGCTTCATCTTTTCTGTCTAGTTTGATTTTTTTTTCCATATCTAATTAGCATACTATCCCAAAAGTCCAACCCAATTCAGTTCGGTTTTTAGCAAACAAAAAATATATCAGTCTACCTCATATCGTCTTAGCCCGCGAACCAAATGAGTCCGTCCGTGACCAAATATATAAACTTTAAAAATAAAATTTTAATACTAAAAAATATTTAAAACTAATTTTAATATTTAAAATATAATAAAAAATAAATTTTAAACAAAAACAAACTAAATATGTAATAAAAATATACTTTGTATATAAAAATATTTTAAAATATATAATTTTTTTTCTGGCCCGCGAGCCAGCCCGGCTCAGCATGAGTCCGACTCGTGACGGGTTGGCTCGTTTGGCCCGGTTTTTTTTTTGCTCAAATATTTTGAGCTCGACTCAGAAAAATATGGGTCGGTTCATGAGCCAACCCGCTATCCGCGACTCGTTTTACACCCCCTAATAATAATAATAATAATAATAATAATAATAATAATAATAATAATAATAATAAAATGGTGAACTTAATGTACAGATATAGACGGACCAGCACACACTCAACTGCATACGTGGGAGTGACCATCCTTTGGTGGAGGTGGAGCTGCATTATATAGCATTCGATCAACTATGAATGTCCCGGCTCAGCATGAGTCCGACTCGTGACGGGTTGGCTCGTTTGGCCCGGTTTTTTTTTTGCTCAAATATTTTGAGCTCGACTCAGAAAAATATGGGTCGGTTCATGAGCCAACCCGCTATCCGCGACTCGTTTTACACCCCCTAATAATAATAATAATAATAATAATAATAATAATAATAATAATAATAATAATAAAATGGTGAACTTAATGTACAGATATAGACGGACCAGCACACACTCAACTGCATACGTGGGAGTGACCATCCTTTGGTGGAGGTGGAGCTGCATTATATAGCATTCGATCAACTATGAATGTGTGTGTATTTGGGTGACTGACATTGATTTTCATTACTGGAAATATATTTTAAAAATGACAACATTGACTTTAAATTACTTTTTATTTCGTTATTAGATAATGGGGTTGTAGGGTTTCAAAATAATTTTTTAGTTGTAATCATAAATTTACGCATAATAAATTAATAACATAAGAGTGTAATTTCGTTTGTTGGAAATTAAGATTGTGTTAAACAGGGATATTACATGTTTCTAAATATATTACCATATTCGATTTCGTTTGGATTCAAATTGTACTGCTTGAAAAAAAAAATTGTTAGAATCTAGTCTTATTAAATCGGCACAGTTTCGGTTTAGTTTAGGTTTTATTGATTTTTAACATATATATATATATATATAATTGTTAATTCTTTTGTCTAAAGGACGAGAAGATAACCTTGTATATAATGCGTATGTGAATCACTCAAATTTTTGACGATTCAGACAAAGTGCTCTTCCACGATATAGTTAATTTTTCTTAATTTCTTCGTATCTTTTCACCAATGACTTGGTAAAAACTTATACAACATAATTTCCCATTAAATTCAGTTTGATTATTTCGTTTTTATATTAAAACATGGTTATTTCTATGATATACGGTCTAAATAAATGTCATAAGCTTTTGGGAAATTTTTAGTCTTCTTTAGTGCATCTGCGTGTATTAAACAATGTATGTTTGCAATAAGCACGCACACGCTGAAACACGTAGACGTTTATCTTTAATTACAGAAAAATAATGAAGGTCAACAATATAATATATGCCACTTTCTTATACGTTCGTATACGTGCATTCACATAGCTATACACATACATACATATATATATATGTACGTATTGATACATGAATTATACCAATGAAAATCGGGAAATATTATATAAGGCATATTAATATGAATAATCGTCATAATATGGAAAGATCAATCAGATTAATTCAAGTACACAATTTATCGGAATAGATCGAACGAAATTCAAATAAGATATTCACGACATGGACATGATCAATGATCTTTAAGTAAATGACGTTGATGCGTAGAAAATTGTACAGCAATATATTATCTGTTGCATAGTTTTTTTCACAAGTATATTTTTTATAGTAGATTTTTTTATTGTCAAATTCGGAGGGATTCAATTCAGTTATACCGTTTCAAATTTTACGGTAGGATCGATCTTCTATTACATTTAAACTATTTACACATATTAATTAACATAAAGCAATGCATTTTATGAAAAATAAATAACTGATGTGATATATCGACAATGAAATATTAGGGTTATCCAAACTTGAGTGACCTAGTGGTGAGAGAACATGCAAAGCATGCTCTTACCTTGGGTTTAAATCCAAGTGTTGGGAGGAACGTTCACTTCGGTTTCTCTAGTCTTCTGGGAGATGTAATCGGACCGAAGGTTCGGTAAACTTCCGGATTATCAAAAAATTATCAAAAAATTGTATATATATTAGGGTTAGAAAATATGTTCTAACCGGTAAGAGAAGCTTGGTTCAGTGTTTCATCGACGTAATATGAAATGGAACCTTTATCTAATAAAAAAAAAAGTCAAATTATAAAAAAAATATTTATTTATTTATATTTTGTATGTAAATCTATTAAAATTATATATATAATACATATGCACGCATATTTTTGACGAATGGCAAAAAGTCAAAGGAAGACCATTCCACTTTGACATTCTTCTTGCTTTCCGAAGACATGTTTGGATGTTTCAAGGCAAAGACAACACGAATCAAGAGAAGCAGATAAAGTTTTTTTTTTTGTCTGTGTAATCAGATACGTTTCTTTATAAATATCCAATTTCTTTGTATTTATTTACAATCACTATTCGCATGTTGACAACTACATAAAATTATATAATAACATATTTTTTACAATTTGTTTTTTTTTTGTGACATTACATTCCTCGCCGAGGAAAATAACCTAATCTTTTAAGTGCATAGGAAATTGAATTTATCTTAAGGCGGATATTGATATGAGTAAATGGAAAAATAGTAGCATGAGAGTTGCTAATTTCAGTTTTTTTATAAAGGAAAATATAATATTTTTACTCTTACACCACAACAAAATGCAATAAAATTTGTATTTTTACTCCCCAAAATATCCAATATTAAAACCAACAAGGAACTATGAAGCCCAAAATTTTGTCAAACCCTAGAATTTGCAGAAACTTTCTGCAAATTCCATAAAAAAAATTTACAAATAAAAAACTTTAAACCAAAAAAATAAAATAATAAAATAAAACAAAAAAATCGATTCAGGTTAGTCAGTAGCAACAGTGACGATATACAACCGCTCCGTCACATCGCCGTTATCATCCTGCGCCGTTATCACCACGTCAACGCTTCCAGTGCACGTCAACACCTTGGCCCTCTTCACCTCTTCTTCCCAATCTGTGGACCCCACAACATAAAGCATCATAACCGCACAACTAATTTGGGCAGCTAAAAGGCCCAACCAAAGCCCACGAAACCCAACACCGGCCCAAAAAGTCAACGCAACCGCAACCGGTGTTCCGACTAGGTAAAACGCCGCGAGGTTTATGTTCGCCGCTGTGGACGGCCGAGCACTTCCCCGTACGACGCCGCAACCGACGGTTTGAGGGCAGTTTCCGAGCTCGCAAAGCCCGAGTATCGGCAACGCCGCTGCAGTTAAACTTGTAATCTCAGCGTCTCCGGTGAAAATTCCCCCCCAAACGTTACTTACGCCCCATGCAAACGCAGACGCGGTTAAACCCATGAGGCCGGCAAACGCAACTGCGACAGTTGCTGCCAAACGCGCAGCACGCGGGCGATTCGAACCGAGCTCGTTCCCGACTCGGGTGGAGACCGCAAATCCGACTGAAGACGGGAAAATGTACAACAACGACGTTGTTTGGATGAGGATCCCCATTGCCGCCACCGGGGCTTTAGGGTTTACAAGCAAACCGCATAGTACAGTCATGATCTCGTACCACCACCACTCGAGGCAAACGCTAACGCAACTAGGACCGGCGAGGTTGATTAGTGGGCCCCAGTCCTTGAAGCACTCCGAGCTAGGGTTCGTCCACGTGGCTTTGTGCAACCCGGTGAGCCAAACATGACACACGAGAAACACGAGGACGAAGAAATTTGAAGCGGAAGCGGCCATTGCGACACCGACAAAACCCAGTTGGAGATAAGATACGAGGAATAGATTGATGGGTACGTGGAAGATTGTGCCGGCGAGCATGGCTAGGGTTAGCGGGTGAGTGATACCTTGCGCACGAAGGTAAATGCGAAGAGGATGAAGAACTGAGTTGGTCAGCAAATCAGGAACAGAACAGAGAATATACACTTGAGCCAAAGACGCAATGCTCGGATCTTGATGGAGAAAGACCATGATTTTCCCCAAATTAAGCCACAGAACAAGAATCCCAATGGCACAAGCGAGCAAGAAAAGCACAGTCCGTTGTAGGGTTAGAGATAGAAGTTTCGGCTTTCCAGCTCCAAAGGCTTGAGAACAAAGAGGGTCCATGCCTAAGGCAAGGCCCGAGAGAACAGAGTAACCGGTAATGTTGGCGAAGGCAATGGCTAACGAGCCACCAGCAAGTTCGAGCTCGCCGATATGGCCCAGGAAGAGCATTGAGACTGCAGAGCGGGCGTATAGTATCAAAGCCGCAAGGATTGTTGGAAAGGCTAAGGAGAAGAGGGCTTTGCCCTCTCTCGTGATCTGGGAGATTGGTGGGAGAATGCGGGTCGGGTCGGGTTCGGATTCGTAGTCAGTTTTGGTTGAGAAGTTCTTGTGAGTGGTGATATCAGGGTTTTCCATTGACGCGACGATGAACTTTTTAAAAAAATGAACGAATTGAAGAAGAAGGAGTAGGTCTTAATTTGAAAGCGATGAGATCAGAGGGACATAAGGGGACTATTTATAAACATTTCCAAATTAAAGGAAGTGGTAAAAAAACATTATATATGTCTGACTTGAAATTATTTTATACAAAATAATAAAAGTCAAATATATATAAACATCATGCAGACAACACAACAAAAAGCAACATGCATATATGTTACTCTAATTTCGTTATAAAAAACAAGTGTAAGTTTTCATTGAATTATTATAGTAAGAAAGTTACATTCGGAATTTCATTTTGTTTTTTGTTTTTAAATTTGATAAGCTACTAATATTAATTTGCATTGGCTAACCATTTACCAACTTAAGTTTGTCATTATATTGAACCGTATATATATAACTTTTGTGAAGTCAAGGAAATTATTGCACTGTAACATTGGTATAAACTAGGTAAAATATAGTATTTGGTTGTCAACTAATTCATAATGTATTAAATAAACAAATTACCAATGTAATACGGCCATTTTTATAATTATAATTAGCATTGTAGGAAAAAAAAAGTGTTATATTTTTTGTCCCCACCATATTTCATCTCAATATTACGAATACCTAATTATTGATAAATACTTAAAATTTATATCTACGTGGATTTTACGTATTATATGATTTTTATACAATTTCACATTTTATGTAACCGTGTTATATACATGCACACAACTAAAATGTTGGAGAAAATTTTCAACCGAGATGTTTGATGCCAGCATGCAACCATTGGTCCATATTTTACTTGAATATTAAATTTGAGGAAAATAGATAAATTCAAAAATATATAAAGGCTATCATATTGTGAAATGTCAACCATTGTGGCATGTTTATATTTAAGAAATTTTGTAGAATGAAATGAAAGAAATTTTATTCCTTACGCTTAAATAAAAATTAGAAAAAAAATTACATTCTCTTTACTTATCGTACATACATAAATTGAAAACCAATTCATTATAAATAAAACCTTAAAGCTCAGGATTAAGCACACAACAGGAAATTGGTAGTAAAATTTAAACATAGAAAATCAATACAAGTTCATAATAATATATATAATTAATTTTTTAGAACAACAGAAATCTAGAATTCATAAGATTCAAAAAATACTGATAGTTGAATATGATTTAAATGAAAGAGAAAATTTTAAAAAATATCTGAAATTTTCAATTTTTAAAATCTGAACTTTATTTTTTATCAAATAAAACCTCAATTTTATTTTGAAATAAAAATTAAATCTGAACTTTATAATCTTTATGATCTTTGGACATATTGCTAATTTGCTACCATAATATTTCGACATCTTATATGACAAATTAACACATCATCATCAATATATCACGATATCGGAATGTTAAATTAACAATAGATTTAAAAATGAATTAAATTATAAAATTTAGATTTATTTTTAACTTAGTTAAGATTTTATTGGATAAAAAATAAAGATTAGATTTTATTTTGTTAAAGAATAAAAATTCAGATATTTTATGGGGATTATTTTTTAAAAATTAAAAGACGGGTGAAGATGGAGTGTGATACTTAGATAAGGTAGATTTTTTTTAGTTTCAATTACAAAAATATTTTAAAATAGATTTATCTATTTATTTTATTATAAAAAATGGCCAAACTTATATGTTGTTGTTGACATGACTTTTAATTGTGATGAAGGTTTTTTAATTAATTAAAAATGCAAAGGGAAAACAGTGGATGTGTAAGATAAATAATTTTCTCTGTGCAGATTGTTGGGAAAGCTCTTCGGACCTAAACAATTTTTCTGTTTAAGAATTAACATAAAAACCCTTTTTTAAAATTAGAAAATAAGAAAAAAAAATCAAACATAAACTATAAAATGGCTTTCCACTTAAGAAAGGTCGTTTGAGAGTTGAGACCCTTCCAAGTAACGTTTTAAGACATTTTTATTTTTATTTTTTACTTGTAAATTTTTAAACTTTTTTTACTTGATTTATAAAAAAAGCAATTAAACTAATACGAGATTATGTTCTGAAATTATTCGCTTTTGAACATTTTAAAGGGCGCCATATCATTTATTAATCAATCACTTATTAGCGCAGATATCCGGAGTTTTTATTTTTCGTGATATTTCTTTTTCAAAAAATTATATATTACGGTTTGATTATATTTTGTTTTGAGTTTTAATTTTATAAAAAATATTTATTTTCGAATTTATTCGTTTTTGAAAAATTTCAAATTATTATATTCAATAATTAATTTGCTTTAAAAAGTATCCACATTTCATTTTGAGATTAAAGTTAGATAGAATTATATATTGTGCACTAAATATTCTATTCAATTTTATATCTCAATCTCTAACATAGATCCTGTTAGAAAGATTTAAAAATATCTTATAAAAAATTACGAACTTTTATTTATTTATTTTATATAAAACCAGTAACTTCTATAAAAATTACGAGTTTGATAAATCTTACTATATATCCTCCATATTTATTAACGTCCCCATGCATCCCTCCAACGTGGCTTCCCATTACTGACGCTGAAGACACGTTTGCACCACGTGTTTGAAAGCTCGCTACATATGTCTCCACATCAGCTAAATTCAAAAGTTCGGACCGATTTTAGAATCCGGTTTTGTAATTAAATCGGACCGGTCCAGCCTCAATTTTTACGCCTATTTTGATTTCGGAAATGTATCTGTTTTTCTATTTTGGAATTTGTATTGGAAAAAATGTAATGTAATACGTCAGACTAATATATATGTGTATATATGTATATTATGTATTTATGTATATCAAAAGTTTAAAAAGGAGTATTTGTTCATAACGTCTCTCTCGAGTCAAATAAATTAAATTGTTTCAGGAAAAAAATGGAAAAGAGAAAATTCGGAGGGACCTCTCTTCGATTGACGCTTTGAACGATCCGAGACCGCAAGTTCAGTTATATCATATGGAAGAAAATGGAGGAGGCAGAGCAATTCATTCGATCACTGATAACCGACAACGGCACAATTCTCAATCCATCTGTGAGTTTTCTCTGCAATTTCGAGTGCGATACCATCGAGGGAGATGGAGAATCGAACCCACGAAGACACGACGATGAAAGTTTCGTCCTTGAATTGCATCGATCTCTCGAACCCTGATCTTCGTCAATCAGTTGATTCCCTCAAACAGGTCCAGTCCCCTGATTCTTATTATGAGTTCTGTTGTCGGGTGATTCAATGCTTTTTTTTTCTGGGTTTTTCGTTTCGTTTTGTTTTAATATGAGATCATTTATGTTGTTTGTCATGATTAACGCAATGTTTGGATTCTGATACGGAGTTAATCTCTGTTGTGAATTTTGTAAAAAAAAATTCTGGGTATTTTTGTTTCAGGCATGTTTGGATTGTGGATTCTTCTATGTGATCAATCATGGAATAAGTCAGGAGTTCATGGATGAGGTTTTCGAGCAGAGTAAGAAGTTCTTTGCTCTTCCACTGGAGGAGAAGATGAAAGTCTTGAGAAACGAAAAGCACAGAGGCTATACACCTGTTCTTGATGAGATTCTTGATCCTGATAATCAAGTTCGTGGTTCGTGTCATGTAAAAATCTTGTGGAATCTTACTTAGGTTTTAACTTCAGACTGCAATAATCAAATGGAAATTTCGATCTTGTTTCTCAATTCTTGTCTGTGATGTGTATTGCATGTAGGTGATTACAAAGAAGGGTATTACATAGGTATTGAAGTGCCCGAAGATGATCCCGATTCAGACAAGCCGTTCTATGGCGCGAATCCTTGGCCTAGTAATGGTTAGTTCCCATTGGTAATCTCATAGAAGGAGGGTTTTCTTTAGGGCATTTGCTGTGTTCATAGGCTTAACTTTGATGATGTCTCTTCAGATATATTGCCCCGTTGGCGCGAGATAATGGAGATATACCATCAAGAAGCATTGTGAGTCTCGTGTTTTCGGCGGCTTTTCTCTCGTGTCTGAATGCTGCGAGATGGGTTTTGCAATTCTGATCATTACTGCTAGAAATATTCTGCAATGCATCATCGTGACAAGTTCATTTATATGGCCAGAAAGGTTTCGATGGCTGTCGCAAGACTGTTAGCCTTGGCACTGAACTTGGATGCGGACTACTTCGATAGGCCCGAAATGCTCGGGAAGCCTATTGCAACGATGCGTTTGCTACACTATGAAGGTGAAATATTTGGAAAGAGCTGCAGAGAACAAAAGCTTATGAATGCATTCATACGGCGTCATTACACTAATCAATGTCATTGCCTCTCTACTCTCTTTTACCTCTAGGTAAGTCGGATCCCTCGAAAGGAATATATGCATGTGGAGCACATTCTGATTATGGAATGATCACTCTCTTGGCAACCGATGGTGTCACGGGACTCCAGGTACTGAAATTGAACCGATGGTTCAAAATTCAGTTTTTTTTGGTGCTATAAACATGTTATACGACCAAATTACTCAATGGAAATTTGTTGTAACTTGACGACAGATATGCAAGGATAAGAACGCGAAGCCTCAGAGGTGGGATTACGTACCGCCGATAAAAGGGTATGGCAAGGCATCTTTCAGATTGTTTGGTTTCGTTAGCTCCATCCATTATTTCTCGCCCAATACATGTTTCGGTGTTGTCTGAGATATAATCAATCATCTTTTTTTCCCAAATCCGAAATTGCAAAGAGGTGAAACTCTATCCGCAGGTATACTGATACGAGTTATTTTTTTGGGTGCACAGAGCGTTTATAGTGAACCTCGGCGATATGCTGGAGCGTTGGAGCAATGGCTATTTCAAGTAATACCTCTTAACTAACAAATGGGACCTAATGAACCGAGAAGATGCCAATATTACATAGATGCTGTCTCTTTTTTGTAACAAGTTCGGAAAGATGAAAAAGCTTTAACCTCTGAAATGCGTTGGGTGTGTGCCATTTTCGATCTGAAATAACTGGTTAGAAAGCTATCAAGAATGGCGATTACTTGATTCTTTCAAGTCATTTTGTAACTCAGCATGTCTTTGTACCTGAACAGATCAACCTTGCACCGGGTCATTGGGAACGGTGAAGAACGATATTCTGTAAGGCCATTGTGATTTCCTGTCTTGGTGTTGAAGCGATATAAAAACATGGGAGGATGTGAATATGGAAAGTGTTTACGGATGATGCAGATTCCGTTCTTTGTGGAACCGAATCATAACTGTCTTGTGGAGTGTCTTCCCACTTGCGAGTCCGACACTAGCCTCCCCAAGTACGTATCTTCCTTCGTCTTCCTATTTCTTTAATCCTCGTATGATGATTTGGGAATTGGTAATGAAAGATGACGCTACCATATATTTTCATTTGGAAAGACGGTGGAAAAAAAGAAAACAGAACCATGCGCCTTTGCAGCGTCGCAATCCTTGCAATGTAAGGGTGGGCACTGGCACCCGAATTTTCGATTTCCCAACTAGTCGGATATTCGAAATTCGGGTACTCCATCGACAGGACGAGTACGGGTCCGAAGATGGCGAGAACCCGATCTTTGGGTTCTAACTGGGATCCACGGCGGTATCCGAACCGTGTGAGGGGGCGAGTTTCCAGAGATACACCGAATATTTAGAACATCTAACGGATGTCTGAAATTCGGGTATCTGATTGGAACGGATTCTGAAACTAACTACAGATGTTTCTTCGTTGTGTTTTTCCTTGACGTATAGGTTTCCACCGATCAAATGCTCGACGTACCTTAGCCAACGATACAGGGAGACGCACGCTGACCTGAGCATCTACAAGCACCACACTTGACTTTGTTCTTTGTCGATACGCTCGTTTCCTCTCTGGCCAAGTCTTTTGCTTTTCCTTCACAAACAAACCTAATGAAGACTTTGTAATTTAGATGTTTTTTTTTGTAGTAATGTACAAAAGATAAAATGGACTCTCTCTCTTTTTTTTGTTGTTGTAAAAAAACCTTTTTTTAAAATATTTTAAAAATGCCAAACATCACTAATAATTTTAGAATTTCAGTAATTTAGTTTTTTTAACTGGAAACTATGTTTATATTTTTCAAATTGGTGTTCTGAACATTTATAAATTTCCGAATTTTAAATAGTTTTCAACAGTATAAATAATAAATAGAAATTATAAAAAAAAATCTAAACTTCAGTAAAATTTAATATCTTAGAACGTTTAAAAGCTTACAAACTATCGGATTTCTAATTTTAATTTTAAAAAAAATGGAATAGAAGTTATAATCCAAAATTAAAAGGAAACATTGACAAATAGCTTATGATTCCAAAGTTATCCATATTCAAAACTCTCCCTTCTCATTTTTCCCCCACAAAATTTGGATTTCGTTTCTTGTTGCCTTCTCATTGCTTTTCCCTTCTGCTATTCACCCCCCCAAAAGCAATACTTCTCCAGAAGACAAGTCTCAAATCTCTTCGGTATGAGTAGATGCAGCGACAAACCCCGTGTTAATCCAGCAGCCGAGTATCTTATTAACGTTCCGAGGTTCCCTCTCCATCGAAGTGAAATGATTCTGCATCACATTGAACCTGAGAAGAAATAATCTTATGATTCCAAATAATGCACTCAGTTAAGAAATGAAGGGTTTTAGATCTTCTCAGAAGCTATTTGTACCTGTCACAGAAGCAACAGTCTTTTTTATCGAAACCCTTTCACACTGATTCCGGTTTCTCAGCAGAGAGTGTGCCCTTTGAAAGGTTTCGATATCCCAATTCTCTCGAGAAGGACTCAGCTGCTGCTGATGCTACAAATGATTGAAACCTACCAGTAGTCTTTGCATGAACAAACACCTCCGACGAAATGGTGAAATCTGTGTGAATCTCTTAAAGTTATTTGCCTTCCGACAACCTTTGATGCACACTTCATGAAGGCGTGACAGTCGGGACAAACCCTGATGTTCTTTGTGATCCTTATTGGTATCATACTATTAGGTTTCTTCATCAACCAAAACGCAAGGGCGAGTTTCTCGCTGTGGTAACAGATAGATTCGACCTTTTCCTCCTCCACCACATTGTGCAAAACAAAGTTTGTGTTGGGTGTGAAATTTGCTTCTTCTTGGAGCCTTTCTATCAGCTTTTCCAGTTCTTTGTAGATTGATTCTGTTCCGGGATGTGTCCGATCGCCCGAGACAAATTTGATGAGCTTTTCATCAATCTCCACCCAACTATAAGCAGCGGATTTCTTGACATTCTTGGCTTTCATGAGAGATCTTACCGATGCAACATCTTCCCATCTCCCAGCCTTTGCATACATATTAGATAGCACAATGTAAGGTCCAGCATTTGATGGTTCTAACTCGAAAAGGTTCTTAGCAGCTGTTTCCCCATGTTCGATATCACCTTTCTTTGCACAAACGGATAAAAGGGTCGACCAAATCAACGAGTTTGGCGAATAAGGCATATCATTGATGAGATCAATTGCCTTCTTTACGTTACCTGAATGACCAAATATACCAATCATACAAGCATAGTGATCCAAATTTGGCTTCAGCCCATATGTTCCGCTCATTGAATTGAAGTAGCTCTCACCCTTCTCAACCAGGCCGGCGTGATTACATGCAGATAGCAAACTTACGAACGTAACATTATCTGGTTTCAGGTTTTCCCGAAGCATTTCTTCAAATAAAGACAGAGCCTTCAGATCTTCGCCATTTTGGGCATATCCTCCAATCATGGAGTTCCAAGATACGATATTCTTGACTGACAAAGAAAGGAAAACGTTCCAAGCATCCTTTGTCACTCCACATTTGCTATACATATTAACAAGGGAGCTTGAAACCAACAAATTTGTGTCAACACCAGTTGCAGCAGATTTCGCATGCAGAACCTGCCCTTGATGTAGTGAAGCCATGTTTGCGCAGGAGGCAACTACACTAGAAATAGTAAAACTATCTGGCTTAACACCTTCCAGTAACATTTCCCGAAACATGGCTAAGGCTTCTTCTTCCATACCGTTTTGGTTGTAACCTTTGATCATCGTTGTCCAACAAACCTTGTCTTTTGCCTTAAACATGCGGAAAATATTCCTAGCTTTGCCTAAATCCCTTATATCGATATAAGCGCCAAGAACATCTGAGAGTGTAAATTCATCAGGCTCCAATCCCGAATCCCGCATTTTGTTGAACAAATCAATGCATTTTTCAGGCTGCCCATTTGATAAGTACCCCGAAATCATCAAATTCCAGGATACCAATGTCCTCTTAACCATCCGATCAAACAACCATCTGGCGGTATCAACTTCCCCACATTTTGCGTACATATCAGTGAGAGCATTCAAAACAAAAGCATTACCACCAACAAGATTTCTCACAAGAATGTGAGCATGAATCTCCCTCCCGTGCCTCAAATCCGACAACTTCGAACAAGCGGTCAAGCCATTCACATAACTATAAACCGTAGGCTCAAATCCATCCCTCTGCATCCTCAAAAAAACCTCCAACGCCTCTATGTAAAACCCGTTTCCCGAAAACCCCGAAACCACCGTATTATACGAAACTGAATCCCGAACAGGCATTGCATCGAACACCTCCTTCAATTTATCCACGGAACCCGCTCTAGCGTAAGCAGCAAGCAAAGCATTCCAAGAGATAACATCTCGTACAGGCATTTTGTCGAACAGGTCACGGGCATAAGAAACTAGTCCGGATTTGGCATAGATGTGGAGAAGACGATTGAAGAGGAAGGTACCAGAGGGTTCGAAGGAGGTAGATTCGATGTGGGATTGGAGGCGTTTGGCTTCATGGGCATCGTTGGCTCTCACGCAGTCGAGGACAAGGCGCGTGTAGGTTGCTTCCTCGTTGTGTCTGGTTATGGAGTTGAGAGAAGAAGCTATGGAGTGTCGGAGATGATGAATTTTCCCTCTCATTTTGTTTTTCCAAAAAATAAACGTTGAAATATTTTTGAAATGTCAAAACAAGAGAGATGGAGGTGACATAGTGGAAAAAAGAAAATGGGAGCAACATGAATTTATCATGTTTTGTCAAATAAAATTTTCAAAGGATGGATAACAGTTATTTCCTTTACTAGATATTATTATGCACTCGGAAACTACAATTCATAAATTGTAACATTGGCATCCTCAATATAAAAAAAAAAAAGGCATATATACACATGGATTCCAACGATGGATTCCGAAATCTAGAATCCGAAAGACTTGGATTCGCAAGAATCCCCCAAAATCAAGGATACCCGTGCTCCGTCCTAAACTTTTAAACAGTGCGATTTCACAAACATGAAAGAAAAGTCCATCGTTGACGAAAACCATAGAATCAATCAATGAACGGGAAGATCACATAACGCTCTATTCCAAAAGTATTGGCGCAAGAGTTATCATTTTGCGTTCGGGATATAATTCGATTCCGCCGATTCAAAATTTGTCTCCGGATTCTTCAAAACCCCCAAAGTTCACATCTTCAAGCTCGGCCACATATCAAGATTGTGGATTGTGATGAGGCGACGCAATTTTCACCCTCTCTCTTCTCTTCAATATCAGAACCAGAACCAAGCTTTCCCAAGTAGAGATATAAGCATTACGGTTTGTGAAATGGAAAAAAATTTAAAAATTGAACCAACAGTTATTTCTTATGAAAAAAAATTTCTTAGATAATAATACCTTCTCAAAAGTAACTAAAAAAGTTTCCATCAAAATCCAACGCGAGAAGAGTTGCCTCCGAGGTATCTGCTCTCGCTTCTATATGGAGAGATAAATATTAAAAAGAGTTACATAACTAACTCACCTACATCACCATCATCAAACATCAGCCCTACGTTTGTGGATTCCTGGTTTTCTAGTTCCACGGGTTCTTCTTCGTAGATCTCATCGAACTCGTTCCTGAACTTGTTTTCTGGTTAGCACGGGAACAAAAGAGACGTTAAAACATCGCACATATATCTAAAATATTTTTGTGTTGTACACTTTCAGAAGAATACCATCCCTCTGTTATTCCTATATTAGACTTTGATTTGTTGGTACCGGAATTTATTTCCATTTCGCCTACGTATTAGACCAATGTTCATACAGCTGTTTGCGAATTTAGAAACTATTGATACAGGTTTACGACAGGTGGGATTTCAAAGTTCTTACAGATAAATAAAAGGGTTAGATAGGCTTCAGTAACGAGGAATGGAAATTAAGTAGGAGATTCTAGCCATGAGATTTTCTTACCGATTTTGACTTCTTTGCCTTCCCACGAATCCTGTTCTTTGCGGGTTTCAGCTTGTATATCCTAACCATCCAATGGTGGCTTGTGAAAGCCTGATCATGAATGATAAACCCAATAAGACATATTTACCAGATAGCCAATGTATCGGCGCTTAAAACTGACCTAGCTGCCCAAATGATGAAGTAAAGAATGTATCTCACCTCTTCGAAATGTGTTAGCTTGAAATACTTCTTCCCGATTTCTGTCCGCCTAACTCGATCAAAACCCTTGCCATCTGTCTCTACAAACCTGTGGGACAACAATCCGATCAAGCCACATAGAAGAAACTGAATCACAAATAGGACAATGTGTTTACAAGAGAAAATCCCACCTGTAGTAACAGAGCTTGTACATGAGACAGTTCAACATTGTTGGGGTGGCCTCTGAATCGATCCGGTATTGGCCATCTCTCTTCAGAAATAGAATAAATATTAGCCAAACTCAGACTCATGATGACTTGTTGCTATAAGAAATTAATAGGAAAGAGAAGTACCAGGTAATCAGGTTCCCTTATGTGAGGGAAGACACCACCTCCAATACGAACCATCCACAGAAACTTATTTATATCATCGCTAGGGTAACCAATAAGACCTGAAGAAAAGATTGTCCAATGGGAAAAGTATTTTCTAAATATATGGCACAACACGTGGCATGATGAATCACACAAACCTCCAAAGACGACAAGAACGTATTTCACATCCAAGGAGTTGAAAATCTCCCAAGCTGCCTTTTCCGGAGATGACATGGCTGTGCCAACAGTTGCAATGTGAGTATTGTTCCACGTGTTATTGTCCACGATAACAGTTCGATTAGCCATAGCTGTTGTCTGGTAACCATAGTCCCACCATGATGCCACCTACATGAAAATGTTTTGCAAATATCAATTATTCTCGCAACTCTATTTACCAAATGGTTGTTTATTCGATTAGCACAAAGTTGCATTCATGAGACTCAGATGTTATCGTAGTTTGCATAATCCAAGATCAAGGAGATTTAGTTTGTACAAAAGCTTACCTTATCATCCACATCAGTGTTATGGCTTAACCATGCATAAGCCTCTCTGAAATCATCAAAAACGTGTAGGCCATCACGAGTATGAGATGTCAAAACTATTGACGGAGCTGAATATGCTTCCGCTGCTGCCCAAACACAATGAATCTGCACGCAAGATAACGAGTTGAAAATAAATGTCGTGAATGGCATAACATGCCAATCATATGCCCCTAAGCAAACTTTCAAAAACACGATCGAGTAGGATGAAAAATCCTGCATACCACATAGAAAGCACCCAGCATTATAAGGAGCAGAAGGGCAACTACGGATACTTCAAGGGGTAAAGTAAGAAGCTTCTTCACAGTTTTGGGCTTAACAAAAGGTTTTGCAATAGACTCTTTCTCTTTCTTCTTGCCCTTCTTCGAGGGCCGCTCTTTTTCCATTTCTTCGCTTTTGTCAACCTTAGAAGCAGAAGCATCATCTTTTGGTGCATTGTTCGTAGGAGAGCTATCCCCTGCCTTAGCAGCCAAAACATTTAACCAATTTTAGTAAACATTGGTAAATAAAGCAGACACAGAACAGACAATAAAAAGGAGCAAGAAGTACTCTTACATCCTCATTGGGACCAGAAAATTTTCCAACTAACTGGAATTTAATAGATCCAGTGAAAACATCAAAAGCTTGAGAGAGAGCAATCCCAGACATGATGCAAGCAGCTGGAGCAAGCACAAGCATAAGGCGAACCTAAAAGATCAGGAAAAAAAAGGAGGAACCAGGTTGAAAGTCGAGGTTAAGTAAGGAATCAAGAAGAAATTAACTGAGAGTGGTACTGGTAGACACGCTTTCTCACCATTACTCCAGAGAAATAGACAGATGTAACGATATAGAGGACCGCAAAAGAGCTGGCATCAGAAAGAGGCGAAAAGCAAGCCTACAAACAAACACACAAAAAAAAAGAGAATAATCAACACAAAATATAAAGATATACCAATAAACGTTATACAGCTTCAATCTGTAACCGTGGTGAAGTTTTCAACTCACAATAATTCCAGCAGGAACCAAGAATGCCAAGACATTGATATCCATAAAATAGGATGGCCAGGTTGGAGGTTGATGTTCACTGACACTTGCAATAATTGGTATATATTTGCTCGCATAAGTTCTGTCAGCATGAGAATAAAGAAGCAGAAAACAATATCAGAGGAGTTGCCAGTGAAAAGAGAAGGATATCCTCTAATGAGGACAATAATCAACCAAATATTTGAGAACGAAAATAAAATTTTGAAAGAAGATCAGCACAATATAATACTCACGGGTCAAGAAGACTCAAACTTCTACCACTCCATCCCTTTGTTGGACTTGAAGCCACCAGCGCTATAAGAACTGCCATAACTATGAAACACACGACCCTGAAGCAACCAAGGAACAGAGGTAGGTTTCTCATCCCATGACAAACAATTATCACATTCCACTAGATTTCATCAAAGCAGAATATGTAACTATCATGGATATGTGAAGGAACACAGTATTAGATTGCTTACAGGCCAATTGTCACAACAAGTGTCACGGCAACTTTGAACATTTTGGGAGATAGGATGCCTTTGATATAGTATACAAGAGCTACAATATGGATGATAATGAAGACCTGCACAGATTACACACACAATATAGGCGTAAATCATGGTATATCAAGCGTTGTTGAGTTGCACAACTGGCAGTAGAAGCAACCAAAACCATAAACTTGAACAAACAAACATAGAGCAAAAACCACACATAACCATCTCAATGATCTTAGTTTTCAAGATCTTGCTACAAAATAAAAAGGAAGATAGTCCTGACATTGCTACTTTCATGCAGTTAAATGAGCATGACGCAACCATGAAATCCTTGAGAACTTTATTTTATAATGTCACTACCTAAACATGCATCTTCACTACAGCTGGAAGGTTCTTAGCTAAACAGGGAACATTATCTCAGGCTTAACCAGTCCAAAAGCAGGAAGAGATTTTACAATCTACTCGTACGTTGCTGGAATCTTAGAGATTCATATAGCTTACACACCTTAGAAATTCAAAGTCCTCATGCAACTAGCTTTTGGAACTCTATATGTATAAATTATTCAAAATCCTACATAAAAAATACTTGAAAGGCTAAGCATTAACTGGTAAACTTTAGACAGAGAGAATCTACAATCAATAAATGCAGACATCCTTCCCAGCTACTGTTAAAATGAAGAGACCAAAGTAACAAACTAAAAAAAGGCTCACCAAAAATGAGGCAAAATGTTCGGAGGTCATGACTGCATTGAATCCTACAACAGGTACCAATGCAGCTAACAGTGTCCCCAGTACAACCTGTATGCATATAGAATTTTGCAATTTCAGAAATGTTCAGTACCATAAGTAATATATGGAAACATGAAATAAAAAAAGACAGTGTGTTATGAAAGAAACAAATACGTACGCACATTTTTTTCTCGAATTGTAATATTACTATGAGGTTATTTCTGTTTGGGAGAACCATATGAATCGCTGAGAGCTTCTGGAATAAAATATTCCGGTAGAAAGGCCGTGGAATTTCATGCCATAAATCACATTTTTTTTCTCGAATTCCTCAACATCCATGGCTTATGATTCCTTAGTTCAGTGTAGAGTCAAGAGAGACGTTTACAAAACAGTTGCATGATAATAAACAATCAGCTACCCTGCTTGATTAGAGAACTAACATATACCCTCTCAAAAGCATAAGGAGTAGTTTCAGCATCTTAAACAAGCGACAAAAAGAACTACTCCACAAGTAATCTGCTCTCAGAAAAAGGCAGAAGATCCTTACCAAAGGAGCATAAGCAATGTACAGTCGAGGAGAGTAGCGACCCGTCACAATGCATAAAAGTGCATGCATTGGTATCAGATTGATGATGAAAGTGTAGCCTCCCCAAGAACATACCTAAAAGATTAAATATCTGAAAACCGAGTGGAAATATAATAAAAAGGAGAAAGAGAAGGAAAAGACAGAAATTATCCAAGTCCTACCATGTAAAAGTATGCCAAGGCATTCAAGGTGGCATAAAACAGGGATCCAGTATTTAGTGTCTGCACATGGTATATAGTAAGGATCACTAAAACAGAAAAATATTCAACAGGTATAGGTAATGCTGCTCGCTTAAGAAAGCTTAAACGTTCGTTTTGCAAATTCTGAAACAAACAACTATACGTGCAACAGGGTAAAAACCTTTATATAGAGATAGAAAGTGAAGATCAAAGCAAATATAGCCACCGCTTCATTGTCATAGCTTCCAGCTACAGATCTGGATATATATGAGGGAACCTGCAAAAATAAGCATTAAGTAAAAAATTGCATTCTAAAGCATGAACATCTACAGACTTCTGGGGAAAATTCTATCAAAAACATGCATGGGTACAACATGAGCATGCTGATTCCATTTGATACTATATGTACAGAACAGCAAAGTTAAGTATATCACATCTAAGAAATGATATAAGCCATGATGTTCTAAGGTCTGAATGCCTGCCGTTCAGAGGTTTCTGTAAAGGCCACTTAAAGAAGAAACTTTACATAGACTCATTGAATAAATTACCATAGCCAAGAGAACTGCTGCTGTCAGTCCTGCACCGGGACCCTTAACCTCCTGTTAGTGATGGAAATGAAGATAGTTAAAATACATGGTTCCAGAATCTAATAGGGATATCACTTTAGACGCTAGACACAAACCTTGGTCAAAAGGTAAGTTGCCCAAGAAGCGAATGCCGAAAATATAGGTGCAGTGAAGACGCAAACGGTCTCCACTGAGAGAGGAATGTTTAAAGAATTCAAGACCCTGTGAAAAAGGAATTCGCTTGTTAAAACTAACTCATACTGAAGTACATGATATAAGAAAATTACATCTAAACTACACTTACCACCAGATGGTTCCAGCGGTCAATGTCAATCCAGGGTAAACAGTTCCTCCAATCACACGGCCAAGAGGATACCTTGAGTGAAATTAAATGAGAAAACAAAATATGAAGCAAGCTTCAAAACATAACAATCAATAGTTCTGAGAAATCTAACTTTGAACCAACAAATTACCATGTTCGATCATCAAACCAATTCCAGAACTCGTATATCCCATTCTTTGATAAAAACTGAAACAAAGAACACATACCACAGATTACATAGGCCGACTACACGGTAAAATAATACGTTACTCTGAGCAAAAAAGTAGAATATACGTTTTAAGGGAGAGGAACAGAGAAGCAACCTGTGTGACTCTATAATTGAAGTAAGGATCAAACTCATGAATCACACTTTCATACTTTATGACCTGCAAACCAATCAAAGAGTATATGAGATTGCTAAAAGCGCATAAGAATTAACACCATAATGGTAAATCCATCAAAGAGTGAATGTTGATGCTAAAACCACACAAGAAATAACACCATCCTTCCAGAATACAACCAGAGGAAAAGAGTCAAAATTATTACAGAACTATACTGATTTCTTCCATTTTCCTTAGCTGCAAGCTTAGCTAACCATAGAGTATACAATGGAAATGAAACACTCAAACATTCTTCTAATTTCTCTTCTTTGATATTTGGAAGACCGCAGTCGTCAAGAAAAAGGACAAATTCCCGAAAATTTCAAGCAATGCAGTTATTCTAGACTCTCAGCTCAAATTCAACATGAATCAGATGTAAAATCAAAGTCAACGTCTCCACCAAATGGCATCTGATGCAACACAAAATGACAACGCAATCAGCTCCGTTCACACAAACACTATCTGATTCGGGAAAGATTCAACAACCAATTTCCAATACACGAGATCGGATCCAGAAAAACTCAAACGAGGAAGTGATATCGATGATCTCACAGAGAAAAGCCGGATCGAGAAAGCGAGGACACCAATGAGCACGAGGATCACGAATGACAAAACGTTCCCGAACGCGTGCCTCAACGACGTCGCCGTCCGTTGTTGGCTCTCCGGAGCCGCCATTTTCTCCGGTGAAATCGAACTCTCCCGATCAGAGAGAGAGAGAGAGAGAGAGAGAGAGAGAGAGATAGAGAGAGAGAGAGGACTTCAGTTCGTCGGAGTCGAACTAGAGGTTTTTCCACGCCGGGGGAGAGAGGAGACACAAGACTCTCACTGGATGCAAATCGGAGTCGCTCGCTCCTTCTGCGAATTACAGTTTTACCCTTGAGATTGTTTTTGGTCCGATGTTGACGAAATACGTGGATATGACACGTGTCAACGTCCTATTCGTTAGGTTACCATGACAGACCCGGCCTCAACATTCTCATTAGCATGGGCGTTTCGCGGAACGGTTCGAGTTCGAGATGGAACGGATCGGTTCGGTTCTTTTGGTTTTATAAAAATAGATACCAATCGGTTTTTTTATTGTATTCGGTTCGGTTCGGTTTTGGTATCGATCCGGTTCGGTTCCGAGTTTTATTAAAAAAATGTTAGATTTCTTTTAAAAATATTCGGTTTTCCGGGATTTTTAAAGTTCGGTTCGGTTCGGAAAAAATTCGGTTCTCTAAAAATGGTACCGTTCGGGAAATAACAGCGATTTCGAGTCAGGAAAAATATCGTTTTAACGGTTCGGTTCGATCCGGTTCCGAAGAACCGAACCGAAACGCCCAGCTCTAACTCTCATAATGATTGTCGAAGTTTAGTGATCACAGTGATAATGTGATTCACGTATTTCTTCTATAATTATCTACCAACTTACATTTTTGGGCTCTTGCTAAGAGTGTCACAACAAAGTTTAATTTTATTTTTATTTTTATAAAAAAGAAGATAACTTTACAAATTATTTTAAAATACTAAAACTACCCTTTGAAAAGAAATGATAATTTTTTGATAAAAAAATCCTCACTCTTTCTATGATTTTCTCTTTTTGTCGTATGTTTTCTATCTACTGCAATAATCGGTTCCGAAAAAAAAAAGACGTTTATTCAGTGAATAAGAGACCAAACTCTAATTTCGCTCTTCAAGAATAAAATATCATTAATTATCCCGTCTTATTATTATTTCAACATATTATTAATGACGTGATAACTAATGTCACGTTGTATTATATTTTCAATAATATGTTATGATACTAAATACGGAAGTAACATAAAATATCTAAAAAAATTCATTTTTTATTAATAACGTACACACACAATTGCACATATGTATACGTGTATATAGGAAGATAGACCACAAAATCTTCCGACAGAGTGAGACGAAGACGAAATATAGTTGGAAAAAACCTCTTCTGAGACAAAGCACTTCAACTGTTCTAAAGCTGTGTTCACAGAGATTCTCATTACATATTATAAGGAGCTGTTTTTTTAAGGCTTGAAAATGGAACAAAACAAATATAATCTCCAGAGGCTTTATTCTCATTACATATTATAAGGAGCTGTTTTTTTAAGGCTTGAAAATGGAACAAAACAAATATAATCTCCAGAGGCTTTATTCTCATTACATATTATAAGGAGCTGTTTTTTTAAGGCTTGAAAATGGAACAAAACAAATATAATCTCCAGAGGCTTTAATAAAGAACAAACCTAGAATTAGAGCTCAGGGAAAACTATTCTACAATTAGGACAAATGGTGAAGAAGAGAATATGTGTGTGTGTGTGTGTGTGTTGTTCTATGACACAGGTAGAAACAGTAATGACACACAGCGTTCTTGAGCCATCTGGGTTTTACCTGATCGATTTGTCAGGACTCAATGCACGAGGAAGCGACAAAAACCGTGCAGAGGAAAGTCCTTTGGAGGCGGATACTTCTGGTGAAGAAGATTGCGCATACAGAAAACATGGAACGATGAATCTTCCTCTAATCAAATATGTTAGAATCGATTTGCTGCGCGTTCGGGAATATTTCTCTGACAGTAGCGACATAATCCGTGGACTTGGCCTGAAAAAAAGAGCGATAACATAATAAATTCTCTGAAAAAATGTGCTGTTTCTGTATCGGGATCCTAGTGGTGATGCTTAAGTAAAAGTGAGTGCATTTCTTTCAAAACATCATTGTTATCCTCCATAATAACGATAAGGCATAACTTTATATTTGAACTAAGAAAAGATAACAATAGTATCGAAGAGTACCCTCCAACGAGGCAAAGTCCATTGTCCTTGGCTATATCTATGCAAATCCCTAAGGGATGATCCTACAACCTTTTTATTCCCCTACTTATACCCAGTAACTAATAATAGCAGAATCAGAAATATCAATCAAGAACTCAAATGAAGCCCACTCGCCTAAAAGACTTAATCCATCACTGATTTGATAATATGCTCATCAGTCCCCTAAATTATTCCCTATCATAAACTGTCCCTTACGTGCCCCATAGAACTCATCACCACCGGAAAGCACATATAACCTAACAAGGCATCAAACTGTTACTTAATCGATGTAGGAGTGTTCCTCAATGCATTAGAAACATACCCCTTTACAGATCTTACTATTACCAATCCATTCAAAGGTGTCAGTCAAATGCCAACCAAGTGATTCATCTGGGTTACATGCTTGCCTTAAGGATACGGCATTTTACAGGACTTGCCATATCTAGAACTACTAATGCGTATATATTCCTTGTCCGTGCACATAACCTATACACTATTCAACACCGCAGTGCTCTAACCTACAAGCTTGTAAGAATGGAAAATAATCGAGTGATAGGATTATAATTGTTAAACTTACACATGGGTTATTTTCGAGGTAGATAGTGGTAAGCTTCTCTTTTGACCCTGCAACAACATCTGCAAGGCCTTCAAGAGACTCTGTCTCGTTGTCATTAAGCCATAAATCTTCCAACCTACAGATAAACCGATTTCAGGATGCGAAATTAATCACCAAATACATGAAAAATGGACTGAAGCAAGGAGGACGAGTACTTTATTAGGTTATGAATATCATCAACTGATGTGAGATTGTTGTTGGAGACATCTAGTACATGGGGGTTAACCAATCTATTCAAACCTTCCATTTTTGAGATACCATTATGGCTCAAATATAACTCTTCCAGAGCAACACAATCCTGGGGCGATATTTGTTCATGCGGACAAATTTAACAATGTTAATGCAGGGAAATGTATTACGTGTCTGCATCAAGATTATATAATAAAAATCTAAATTATGCATACCTCAAACCCTCTCATCGAATCAATCCATTGCTCTGCAAGCTTATTTTCTTGATACAATTAAGCCCACATAGGTTTACAACTTTGATACGGTTTCTTCCAAGCCACAGTTCTTCTAACTTTGTTAAGTTCTCCAAATTTTCCATTACCTGAAACTCAAAAATTCTAATTACGACATGGACAGTTCACATTCATATCAAGCATCCTACTTACACATGATCCAAGCTTTACTCCAACAAAATAATTTTCGCAAGTTAGCCATTTCATATTAACGCTCCAATCAAAACTTTTCTGCACATTAATCGCATAATTTTTATTAATTTCGTCATACCCACCCACTATAAACCAACTAGACAGATCAAAGGAACTAACCCGCAATCTATTAGAGCCCAGTTCAAGAATTTGCAAGTTGTGTAAGTGTTCAATCTCGATCATCTTGGTAACTTCGTTTTTCGACACAGAGACCTCCTTCAAGGTGCTAGAGGCCTTTGCTAATCCTTCCAATGAAGGGATTTCATTGAAAGATATGTCAAAAACCAAAAGCATCGTGAATATGCTGATATCGGGCACTTTTGTGAGCTTGTTATCCCTGAGAATCAACTCCTGCAAAACGAAACCTTCCTAAATATTCAACAGTAAAATCTCAGGAGTTCTAACTCATCATGATCCACAAAACGAAAAAAAATCACTTGCTCGATGAAAGTTGAATCCAGAAAACAGGAAAATCTTCTTTGCCACACATGTCTAGTTGTCTACCCAAAAGTGACATAGTGAAGATCCTAAGATCAAGTGTTTTTTATTCTTACAGAAAACAAGTAGACTACAAGAAATGTTCTACCGGCCGACAACTTTCCAATGCAAGAAGCACATCGGACATACACATTGAACCAAACAGAAGATACCATATCGAGTAATTTTCACCCGTAACTGAACATTCAGACAATTCCAACTCTCCCCAGATACAGTTCCTCGGGAATATAAAAAGACAATCAAACATCTAGAAGACAAGATGACGAGAAATAGAATCATCACCTCGAGGCCGGACAAGGCGTCCCAGCGAGAAAGCAGCTCGACAGTGGCATCGTCGACAAGATTCTGCCGGAGAGAGAGAGCTCTTAAGGCTAGATAGCTTCGCGATCCTCGGGTCCAAGCCCGAAAAACGATTAGCCGTTAGGTCCAATTCCGTCAGAGTTCTCGGCAAATCGACAGCCTCGAGACTGTGGAGATGAAAACTGGTGAGATCAAGAACATTTCCAGAATCATCGAAAGCGGCCGCCGATTGTTCCTCGGGGTTGCCGTCCGCCGCCGGCGACGGCTGGGGGGTGTTGCTGAAACAAAATATGCCGGTTTCGCGACGACGACAATGGTTCGAACGGAAGTTTGTGCCACTGAAACGGCATCGTATTTTGTTACATGAAAAGTTATTGGGCCTTTAAATTTGTTGGCCCAACGGAACGGATGAATTTTAACCTTGAAATTGTAACCCAAAATGGAAAATCAAATCCATCGTGGTCATTCACATCAGGCCCGTCTCAAAGTTTTATGGGTCTGTACATTTTATAAAAATTAATTAATAAAAATTATAAATTTATATAATAAAAATATTATTATTAAAAGTATTTAATAATAAAAATATAAATTTATATAATAAAAATTAATAATAAAATTATTTAATGATTTCGAAAAATTATTAATTTCAAAAAAAAATATGTAATTATCATCAATGAATTTTATAATGTTTTTATGTATTAATGATAATAATATTAATTTATATAAAGGAAATCCATAAATTAAGTTTCATAAGTACAAACTATTTTCAATTTTTAAAATAAAATGATTAATTTCTTATTAAAATATAGGAATTGTGAAATCAATTTAAAAATTCAACTTAATATTGAATTTGTATTAATAATAAACAAGAAAAAGTAAATTTTATAATCTAATTAATTTTTATAGTATATTTATTTATTTATTCTATAATAATTATATACTGTAATTATACCTAAAAAAATTATTAGAATAATGATTTCACAAAATTTAATGTTAAATTATAAGAGATATTTTATTTTTATAATTATTTTATAATTAATTATAATAATTATTTTTTAAAAAGTGGGGCCTCCAAATTAATGGGGCTCTGTTCAAAGACACCGGTTGCACCTGCTAAAAGGCGGCCCTGATTCACATACATACATACATATTTATATATAACCCTATTATAGATTTGTAAATAATACGATCGCAAGGAAATTATGTGAATGTCGGAGGACTAGACTTAAGATTAATTTAGAGTTGTCCATAAAATTGTTGAAAATTGTTCTAAAAAACCTATATGAATGATAACGGATTTTAACGATTTTGCAATGAAGTAGCGTGAAAATTAAGTGTCTATGCCATTTGTCTTGGGTGAGCTCACATCTGGTTCATACGTGTTGAATTGTCTCTGCATGTACATTCATTCATTCATTCATGCATGCATGGCATGCTGCGCGTGTAGAGGTTAAGAAATGAGATGTTTTCTAAACAGCATGCACATATATTCATCATGTTACATTTTACATTGCTCGATGTTTGTGTCGATAAAGAAAATGTATATACGGTTTGGTTAAATAAATTTTGTAATGGAAATACTCAGAAATTATGAAATATATATATATATATATATATATGTATGTATGTACATACAAGTAAAGACAGTTCGCGAATAAAGCGTGACCTATATATATACCATAACTCTAATTATATAGAAAACGACTTATGTTATATTCCATTTTCATCCACAAAATAAATAAAAATTACAAAATGTTCTCTATAAAATAGTTTTCGTACTTTTTCCAAAATGATAATTAGATACTTCGATTCTCAATTGGATCATCCAAATTTCCTTAAACATAATGCACATCTAAGTTAATTTGGCGTTGCTCCATAAGTTACTTTGATAACCGAAAATAATTCAAGAAGATGATGTGACAAAGTACATATTTTAGGTCCGAAACAAATATATATATATAATTTCTAAAATTGAACCATTGATTGTAAAAAAAAATAAAATAAAAAATCTGAAAGTATATCAATCTCCATAAGAAAATGTGGTAAAGAGTACCAAATTATAACGTTTTCATTAGCTAGATTACACGAAACTTATTGTCCGAAAATGAAATCTACTTACAGCAGTTTTTATAAGATATGATGTTAGTAGTCTTCTATGCACTAGAATATGATGTTGTAAAACTAAGCTATATACCGCCTAGTAAACAAGAGTACCAAATTATAGCATATCAACTATGTGTAAATATAATATGATGTTATATTTTCTCGAAAAGATTCATACGTTTCATAGACTTATAATCTTTATAAAAAGATACAGATCGATATTTCCCATGCACAAATATTTCATATTATTGTACCGTTTGGACCATCTCTTTCAAGGAGTTAATTAGTGTATTCAGTCCCTCACAAATTGTAACTCGAGGAAGAAGCATGCAATAATTCTCTAGATTCATGCACAACATTTTTTTTAAATAATTTAACAAACATTGTTCTAGTTGAGGGAGTGACCTAATGTGATTTTTTTGATATGCTCCATATGCTCACTATTGGGAAATATGAAGAGTTTCAATTTGTATAGAGTCTAAATATTAATGTGTTTATTATTTGATTGGTTTTCTATTTTTTTCATTATCATGTCAATTAATTGTGAAATCTAATAAAACTTCAAACCCTTAGAATATAATTAGAATCTGATACCATGTCAAAATTTACGAAATAAAACGTTGTTACATTATTGATAACCGGATGAGTTTAAATATACGATATAACTTTCTCTCAATAAAACTTCCAATTGCTATTGTAATGATAAGAAAATATAAATTCAATCTAAGTAAGGAACACATTAATATCCAAACTCTGTACAAATAACTTAAACCCTTCATATTTTTCAACATTCAAAGAGGAAACTATTCCCTCTCGATGTTAAGACTTAATTATATTGATGTTAATTGACGTTAATGTATTAAATTGCACGAGGATTCTTGGTTTTTTCTATGAATCAACTAAATCTATAAGAAATTGAGGGGGGGAATCATTAGAAAAAAGCAAAATAAATTGACCGCAAATTACGTCTTTGTGACATAAGATATTTTGTTTTCAATATTTGATACTAATTTGAAGGAATGTATTATGAATATACATGCATGATATATAAAACATATTATCTTTCAGACCAGATATTACTGTTATTATATCTTCAAACTCAACAACAGTACATAACATTCTTGTCATATAAGCAATCCAGTACTTTATTATAAATTATAACAAATTTGCAACGGAAGTCATACTTTAAAATTCTAGAGCAAACCATTTGTAAAATCGGCCGATGGATGGATTTATGATTGATTTGTTAAAAGAGTACAAATGCTTAAGAAAAAATCCTGAAAACTAAATCTAAAACCAAACATTTTCTCCAGAAGAATAAATAACAGAAAAAAAAAAATCGACCAAAAACAGAACCGGGCATAATAACCACAACAGTCTTCTCACTTACTCTTCCTTTAAAAAAAAAGAAAAAAAGAAACATATATTTACGGCCCTATATAAACCCTAGATTGGTTCATAACATTTCACACAACCAAAGATCATTACAAAAAAACACACACGCAATGTCTCTTCGTAGTCTCGCACTAGCCTTGTTTTTTCTTGTCCTTCGTTTCGGATCATTTTCGTGCAACAAAGCTGAGCGAACCTGTGAAGACAATGAACCGTTTACGTGTAATAACACTGATGCTTTCAACAGAGAGAGCTTCGAACCTGACTTCCTCTTCGGCGTGGCGTCCTCTGCTTACCAGGTTCTAAACCCTAATTTAAACCCTAAATCATATATATATATTATATACGCATGTCGATTTCTCAAGTTATAATGAAACATATATATATATATGTATATATTTGTCTATTGTGGTTATTTTCAGATATGCATTGAAGTTTTACGTTGACAAATGATGTGTGCCAAAAGACATTTTGGATATAGACTGTCCATAAACATTTTCATCCATGCATGGACTCGAGCTGTCCATGCAATATACAAGAAGTTGCCTGACCATATCATTTACATTTATATCCGGAAATTTGTGATTTTTTTCACGCTTGAAAGTCATGTTCTCATCCAAACGAAAAGTATTGAAAGAATAAAATCGTTAGGATAATAATAATATAAAAAAAAGATTTAAGATATCTATAGAAAAAAAATGTTATATATATTCGATGGTATTTAGTTTCACTTCTTCGTTTCGTTTCAGATTGAAGGGACGGAAGGTAGAGGACTTAATATTTGGGATGGTTTCACTCATCGATACCCAGGTCGATCATTATACGTATTTATGATTAATTGTATAAAAACTAATTTTGTATTATTTTCCTTCAACTATATTTTAATATTTTTTTTAACACGAGGCGTAAAAAATATCATACAAAATATTGATGGGTTTGTTAAAATCCATCCAACAGCAAAAGGAGGACCGGATCTGGCTAACGGTGACGTTGCATGCGGGTCTTACAGGCATTATCAGGTTATTATAAATCTAGGTTTTGGTTATAAAAAGTTATATTTAGCTTTTCTTATCTTGTCCCCTTATTTTTCACGTACAAAATATATGTATGACAAGAAATCCTAACATGCACGCATATATATTTGCAGAAAGATGTTGATTTAATGGCTGATATTGGAGTCAACGCTTACAGATTCTCTATCGCATGGTCGAGGATAATTCCGAGTACGTGTTTTTATATTTTATTTTCCAATCATAACCATTCATCACTCGATCCATCCATTTACAAGCTTAATATTATAATAATCTTATAGATTTCGTCTTGACGATCGACTTCTCTTACATTTTCTATAGGAGGAAAGGCAAGTCGAGGAGTTAATGAAGAAGGCATCGCGTACTACAATAGACTCTTAGACAGCCTTGAAGCAAAGGGTATACGTGTAAACTACTTGTTTACATATATATATACACATATATTACTATACGTATATACATGCACACACACACACACACACACATATATATATATATATGCATTTATTCAGGCATGGAGAATGAGAGAGATTTTACATGACTTCTCATAAACTGTTTTTGTATCACAGGGATTACACCTTTTGTCACACTCTTCCATTGGGACCTTCCCCAAACTCTACAAGATGAGTACGAAGGTTTCTTGGATCGCCAGATCATGTAAGTTGACCCATTTTGTGTGTACAAGCTATGTTAACCATATATTATATATCACGGTTGAAATGTGTATGTGCATATATATATATATATATATGCAGAGAGGATTACAAAGATTACGCAGAGATCTGCTTCCAGAGATTTGGTAACAGAGTGAAGCACTGGATCACGATAAATCAAATTTATACGATCCCGACAAGGGGTTATGCGACGGGAACCGATGCACCTGGTCGATGTTCATCTTGGCTTAACGAAAATTGTTACGCCGGAGATTCAGGAACCGAGCCCTATATCGTCGCACACAATCTCCTTCTTGCTCACGCGGCGGTGGTCGATCTATACCGGAGCAAATATCAGGTTCACAGGACGTTTAATGTTTAATGAACACATAAATTGTTTTGGCTAAAGTCTTGTATACATTTTCGTAGATATATACATATATATATATACCTCTAATTTTATATTTATGTTTTTTTTTAATATTTTGAAGAAAATCCAAGGAGGGCAAATTGGAATTACAATGATAACCAGATGGTTTATTCCTCGGGATAATACTGACGAAAGTCTTAAAGCCACCGAAAGAGCCCAAGAATTCTTCCATGGATGGTAATTACATTTCTCATCCAAAATTATTAAACAGAGATTATATATATATATATGTATATATATAATGTGAGTGTCGACATGTTTGTATAGGTTTATGGACCCTTTAACAAAGGGTCGTTACCCACGGATCATGAGGGAAATTGTTGGGGATCGTCTACCAACTTTCAATGAAACAGAAGCATTGCTTGTGAAGGGATCGTATGATTTTCTTGGCATCAACTATTACATTACCGAATATATTTACAGTATCGAGCCAAATCCTCCGCACAGGCTCACCGTGATGAACGACTCGCAAACAGGAAGATCATGTGCGTATATTATAACGTATCGCGGGTTTAATTAATTTCTCGGTTTGTTCTTCGATCGATAGATCATATCATTCTCTTCTCGTACTAATTCCTCTAATGGTTTTGTTTCGGCAGTAAAAAATGAATCGGGTCCGATAGGTCCATTGGTACGTTTGTTCATATTTCATTGTTTACGCAATTTGGAATTTCGTCTAACAAGTTTTTCGCTTTGATGATGGAAATACTACAGTTTGGAAAAGACTCTCGCTACCATCCAAGAGGCATTCTAAACGTTCTCGAGTATTTCAGGGATAAATATGATAATCCAACGATTTATATAACCGAAAATGGTGCGTTTCGTCTTTGAATGAAGTTTCATTTATATATATATATATATAGGATACGATACGAAATATATACACGTATATAGATTCGTGTTTGCGTAATTACAGTTGTGGAGAATCTTTCTCATATATGTAATTTTCATCTATATATATTTTTAATGAAAATTTAGGGTTCCGAAGCCACGCGGAATCAGTCAAGGAAATCCTTCGTGACTCTGACAGGATCAACTATCACTGCAGTCATCTTTGTTTTCTCCGATCAGCCATCGAGTGAGTGCTCACACACACACACACATGCATAAATATACGTACCCATGCATGCATACATACATACGTACACATGCATACACTTACATAAATGTGGTATCGTTCCTCGTTTGTTTGTATAGCTAGGCACGATAATGTGGATTGATATGCAAAAATATCTACATTTAGGGAAGTTATTTAATCAAACTGTTGGTTTCATATGCATTTTGAGCAAATATCTGGACATGTGTACTAGATTTGATGCTTATTATAAAACAAAAACAAAAGAGTGGCAATATAATAAACATGTCGATATTTGCTGCTGCAATACACTTATTTAGGTTCTTTGTTTTTCCCAAAGGAGCGGCGTCAAAGTGAAGGGATACTTTGCGTGGTCGTTCCAAGACAACTACGAATTCTGCGACGGTTATACCAACCGTTTCGGGCTGAGCTATTTCAATTTCGAGACGATGGATAGAATGCTCAAAGATTCGGGAAAATGGTTCCGAGATTTCTTGGGCCAGAAGAAAAGTATCGCTCCCGAGATTCAGGATCTCGGCCTCTCGAGGCGTTTCCCCAAGGAACGTGGGATGGTAGCCGAAATGTGACAGCGCAGATAAAAAAAAAAGGATCGGCTAAGTTAAGAGTGATCTTCTTGTTATTCATCTCCTATTATACATAATGTAGGAGATATATATATAAATTAAAAAAGAGGGAAAATAAAAGAAGATCGTGTGTGATGTCGTAATGTCTGAGTTTGTTTCTAACGTAACGTCTATGGTGTGCGGTCTATATGTAATGCAGTGTGCTGTGTTTGTTTAAAGAGATAAATATAAAAAAAAAATTATGGTTTACGAAACGTATAAGTGGAATATTCTCGTATATGTTTTGATATAATTTTACTCGTGAGACCAAATACGAAACTCGAATCACAGAACACGGATGATAAATGAACTGTCTGAGGTTTCAGTTTGATTTGGATATATATAAACATTCAAAAACCCTAAATCTTATCTAACAATTAGTTTCGAAATTGTCCGGTTTTTTAAATACCGATTTTCACATAATACAAAAGAACAGATTTTTACTTTATGAATTCAATGGGGCATACAACGTTTTAAAAACTTATTCCACATGTTAGAGTCAGTTCCATGTTGTTCGGGTGGTGTATCCACCGTTAGAGTAGCTTTCTCGTGGCCCCCTCCACGATGTAGAGTACTTTGGACATAAGTTCTCCAGTTGTCCGACCAAAAGAACATCTAAAGACCTTTCTCAGAATTCAGATCCTCGTCCTGTTGAGCAAAAAGCTTCATGCACTGCTCAAACGGCAGTCCCGCAGAATCAGACTGATGTTGATCATCCCATCACCTTAAATCTCTCCCCTGCTCAGCAAACTTCGGTACCTGCATCTCAATCTCTAATGCCTGCGCCTGCATCACCTCATAGCTGCAAGTCCATAGCATTGCTTGCTGTGAAGTCGGTATCGAGATCTCACGGCCACTCCGACTCTCGTACGTGCGCGAATGAAAGAGACCGGAGATTTTAACGAGTTCGGTTACCGAGCAAGCTCGGGCCTACATCTCGGCCGGACGGTGCCGGCGAATCCACTAGAACAGAACGAAAACAACCGAAGACGGTGGTCTCCACAAAACCGGAGACTCACCCACGATGTGTTCAAGAAACAACCGAGAAAGAACAGAATACGCGACGTCTTACCGATCCCGACTCACCTACCTTGAGCCGCCTTCGATCCCGAGCTCCGGCGACGCCGAGAAACTCCTCCGTCGGCATAAACCTCCTTCTCCTTCGCCATCTCCGTTCTCCCTCTCTTTCTCTCTCACACCTCGAGCACCGTGTCTCGCCAAAAGCCAAAACACATTAGGGTATTAACCCTAAAACGCAAAACGTGGCGTTTTTGGAAAGCCTCTCCCTCACGTGGAGGGTTTAACTTTTCCACCAAATGGGCTTTTAGGCCCAACAATCTCCACCTTGGTGGAGAAAGAGAAACCGAAAAATAAAAAATAAAAATAAAACTAGTGGTTCGCCGTTTCCAGCACCGATCGACTTTCGTCGATCCCTCGACTTTCGTCGGAATTTAAATGCAAACTTACCTGACTTACCTCACTTACCTGATGTCGCGGAGTTAGTCACATGTCGCCCTCAAGCTTCCCGTCGATGACTCCTCGTGGCCTCGTCGCCTTATCCCGTCACCGATCAGCTCATCTATACCTGAAACACTTGGTAAACGTGTTAGAACGTTCACCCCGATAAGACTCGAACCGTAGTCCTATCCCGCGTTGCCCGACCGGCAAACGCTACCCTCGGTTGTATGACTCCCTAGACCGTCTAACCAATCCTCCTAGTAGAGTCCAAGACTATACCCGCTAGCTAACCCGAGGATTACACCCGACGTCTACCCGTCTCCTAAGTCTATCCCGACTTTTCCGAGACTAACCTGAGTCATACTACCGAAACCCGCTAGATACCTAGCCCGGATCCCCGTGAAGTCTATACTACCTATAGGTATACGACTTCTACCCTCGGACCCTAACCTGCCAACTAGAATTGTCCCACGGTTTTGTCCCGTGAAGACGTTCCTAGTCATCTACGATGCTCCACCGAGAATAAGAGACACGTGAGTGCACGTGCTCCCCCTCGAGAGGGAGTGTCCTAGCGCCAACCTACACCGTCTCTACCCGTCGGTTACTCCTCCGAGGTCAACGTCCTTCTACCTCGGACTCTCCCTACCTCGTCATCCGGGACCTACAACACCTTCTTGTAGTGTCCCTATCTACCCGCGGAACAACTCACTCCACCTGGTCCTTGGCCTACTCCTGCACCCGATTTCTCGGGTTTGCCCGAGACCCCTAGTCCTTCCACCATACCCCTTTCGGGGTACTCCGAGCTAGACAACCTAACTCCATCATCCTAAGACGATATAACAAGAGTCTAAAACCGACCCTACCCGGAAGAGACTTAACCGACCCTAGGAGTGATGTAACATGACACGAGGGATGAGACCGAAACCCTAGAGGACTTAACCCTAGGTATATTTCTACCTAGCCGTGCTTAAACACGCTC